GTGTGTGTGTGTGTGTGTGTGTGTGTGTGTGCGTGTGTGTGTATGTGTATGTGTGTGTATGTATATATACATATATATATGTGTGTGTGTGTGTGTATATATATATATATATAACCACAGGTGCAGTGTGGGTATCGAATGTCTTAGTGCACTATGTCCACACTTACACTCCACCACACTACATCTGTACTTCCACCGATAAGTGTAGTGGGGTCTGTGTTAGTGTAGTATAACATGTTGGTGTTTCCCTCATCTCCCCCCCAAAAACATTGCGCTCGGTGCACTCTCTCCCATATTCTGTCCTGGAGGTATGGTCTAGGGGGGTAGGGGTAGGGTATACGGGTGGTTGAAGTAAGGGTCTACCTCTATACTGTACCTCTGACCTGCTATTCCATCCCACACCCTTTGACCACTTAACACGTCTTCTCGCGTACACAGCTGCACTTCCGGATTTCCTGGCTTTGCTCGTCCGACACTCAGATCCCGCTTTGTTATGTAACGCCATCCCGGGACGTAGCACCAAGTATGTGGGGAGTATGTGTGAGTGGTTATATATGATATGTATATAGGTATGTAGTGTGTAGGGTTGTGTATATGGGTATATGTCTCTATATGTATATGTGTATCTAGTTACATATTTTATTTATATATGTATGTATGGTGTGAAGGGTTGTGTATGTGTATATGTATATGTGTATCTAGTTACATATATTGTTTACATATGGGTGTATGGTGTGAAGGGTTGTGTATGTGTATATGTATATGTGTATCTATTTATGTATACTATTTATATATGTATGTATGGTGTGAAGGGTTGTGTATGTGTATATGTATCTCTTCCAAGTATGTGCGAAAGGGCGGTACGGGACAAGACATGTTTGTACGGAACCACACCTTCACTATACGTATGAGGACGCCCATGCATGCTTGTGATATGTATATGCGTATATAGTTATATTTAATATGTATATGTACATGTACATGTATATGTATATGTATTTGTACATGTATATGTACATGTACATGTATATGTATATGTACATGATATGTATATGTATATATTGTTTATATATATATATATATATCTATATATATATATATATGTATATGTACATGTATATGTACATGTACATGTATATGTATATTTATATGTATACGTATATGAATATGTACATGTACATATATATGAATATGTACATGATATGTATATGTATATGTATATGTATATATATATATATATATATATGTTTATACGTACATGTATATGTACATGTACACGTATATGTATATGTATATTTCTAAGTATATTTATGTGTATACGTATATGTATAAGTATATGTACATGATATGTATATGTATATGCATATGTATATGTCTATATATGTATATGTATATGTATATGTTTATGTATATTTATATGTATATGTATATGTACATGTATATGTATATGGATAGGAATATGTATATGTATATGTATGGTGTGCAGGGTTGTATATATGTAGCTATGTTCCCCCGGATTTCCTCGCAATGCCCCTCCCAGACTCACATCTCGCTTTATTGTGTAACAAAATACCGGACACAACCCCAAAGTATGGGAAAGAATGGCACGCATCAACTGCGTTTGCCTTTAGTTACGTCATGCTTCTTTTTATTTCATTGGTGGCTATTTATAGATCTTGCCTTATCTGTCCTATCCATGTTTGCAGTGATAAAGCACACTGGCTGGTCCAGATGTGGTTTGTTCGACCTCTTCTTACGTCATCTACGGCTTTTAGTGTCGTCACTCTCTTGGCCGGTACACATCCAGGTAAGATCTTGTACGCATAGGTACAAGGGTGCAAATACGTAAATACACAAATACGTAAATGTACGTTTATTTGCACGCCTGTAGGCACCTGTAGGTCATTGGTGAATGTGTATATACACAAATACGTAAATGTACGTTTATTTGCACACCTATACGTCATTGACGGATCAATGTACGCTCGTTCGAAAACACACACACAAACACGCCGAAATATATCATACATAAAACCCTAAACCCTAAACTGCTCTGCATACACTCTATCTGTGAATAGATTACAAAGGCTTGTTGTTTGGTCCTGATCTGTCAGCGGCTGTGTGTGAGCGTGTGCTACTACGCCTCAGACGATTTGCCTTCACATCCGAAGGAAAGGGCCGAGCGATCCACCACATTTGTGCGGAAACGGCGGTATGTGTTGTATGTACGTATATAAATATACGTGTGTGTATGTACGTATATAAACATACGTGTGCGTATGTACGTATGTAACTATGCATGTGTGTGCACATAGATAGCCAGACATATGTGCATATATGGAAATAACTATATATATGTGTGTATGTACGTATGTAACTATACATGTGTGTGTACATAGATAACCATACATGTGTGCATATATCCACACATGTTATATAAATATACGTGTTTGTATGTACATATATAAACATTCGTGTGGGTATATACGCATATATCCATACAAGTGTGTATGCACGCATATATATATCCGTGTTTGTATGTACATATATAAATATACGTGTGGGTATGTACGCATATATCCATACATGATTGTATGTCAATGAGCTGCGGTTTGTGTAAGACAAGGGAAAGCGTCGAGCGGTAACCCGCACTTCTGTGGGGCATATACCGATATAGATATGTGCGTAATGTATGCATTTTACCACTCTAATAGTCTGTGTACGTACACACTTGTATGTATCTAGGGGTGTACTTATATGTCCCTTTGTCTACCCCAATAGTCTGTGCCCACTTGCTTGTATTATGTGGCAT